ACCTTCTTCTTTTTTTTTTGGTATAACCAGTCGTTTAAATTTTTTTTCATAGATTAATTTCGAAATAGCTTATTGCACCTAATTGCAAAAATAGCTAAAGAGAAATGCAAGAAGCCAATAAGAAACTAGCTAGAGGACAACAACTGCTAAAGCCAAAGTAGCGATATCTCCGGTCGACGAAACGGGTGAGCTCGGCATAGAGACGGTAATATACGACGATTCATATATGCTTAGGGCATGTTGATGCTGCTTCAAATCTGTCTCGAAAATCTACATTCAAAGAAAAGGTGGTCGAGGCCCGAGGGATCCACTTACCTCATTGCATAGATTGGATCAACGTTCAGTCCCCATGCATGAACGCAATATGTGATTAGCAACGGCCCTATTCTAGATCATTAACAACATGAGCAAACTACATCTAGCATCATACCAAAACTCTAAATCCTATAATTAAAGAAAAATATTCTAGAAGATTTGAGAAATAGTCAATGTAGATTTCTGACCAACCCATATTTCGGAGATGACTCTGCCATATCAGAAATCTCAATATGAACATGCCATATCAAAATATGAACGTGTCATATCAAAAATTTGAAAATAATCATAACATATGGATATATGAAATATACAGAGCCGGCCTTGGGAGCAAGCAAGATAAGCCTATGTTTGCGGCTCTAACCTTTATTAGTTATTTTGTGGCCCTTATTTACAACTAAATGTTTTGGTCTGGTGGTTAAAGTTGCAATTGTACTTGGAAAGAGCATGGATTTAAAACTAGACGGGAGTGCTTCTCAATTTTTATTTGTTTTATATTAAAACCGGCCTATTTTTATTTTTGGGCTTGCGGTCCTTTACAACTCAGGACCGGGTTTGGGGATATAGCACTGACATATCGGAAATCTGAATATGATCCTGCTATATCAGAAATCTGGACATGGCCGTATCATATTAGAAATATGTACATGACCATATCATATTGAAAACTTTGACACGACATTATCAACTCCGAAAATATTTGGTTATAACCATATTATCATTATGGTCCTCCAGTGGAACGAATCCTTTCAATCTTGTGTGTTTCCATAATTCTACCGTATTTCTTTCAGTTGGTGTTTCAACCACCTTATTAGTGAAAATGTTAATGTTTGGTCTTTGGAGCTAAAAAATTTCATTTATATGCATACATTAAAGAAAACTTGTGTCAATTTAACCAACGACAAAACTACTATATTGCATTATGTATATTTGGGAAAACTTTTTGTAAGAAATATACAATAAGTAAAAGGTAAAAAACTTCTTAAGAAGAATCTTTTAAAGAAAACAAATGTTCTTAGAAAAAGGCTACAGGCCCATAACCACAATGTCTTTGATAACTTAGAAGCTAGTGTTAGGTTGTTTTTTTTTTCATATAATATTATCATCCGTTAAGCCAATTAAAACAAAAGATTT